TCAAGTACACTTTGAATGATCAATCTTACTTTTGATAAAAAAATATTTTATGCAAGTGATATGAAATTAACTTTTGGTGCACAACATGATTTTTGAGCTATTGTCATTCATGACTAAAGATCAAAGTGTTATACCTTTACATATAATCTCTAAAGCCTAGTCTTTGATCTTGCTTCGAAGTTTCTTTCATATCTTTCTCTTTAACTATTGATCTCGATCTTTCCGGCGTTTAGTCTTAATGTCTGACTTTGTTTTGACCTTCTTTATGCGCCTGATTTGATGGTCTTGATTTTGATATTTTAAACTCCCATCTCGAATGATTTGACTTGAATGCTTAACTTTAACTTTGATCTTCATTTCGAGTCCAATTTATAATATGTTGATTTTGACAATACTTGATTGATNCTTAACTTTCACTTTGATCTTCATTTCGAGTTCGATTTATGATGTGTTGATTTTGGCAATGCTTGATTGATTTTAACATTGAACTATCATAACTCAAAATCAATTGTTAGGAATAATATTAATCTTGTTTGTTATGATCAAAACATTAAGAATGAAATTAACCATAGGTCAACAGATTAAAACAGGATGAGACCGAAGCTGGGCAAGTCCCTACCCATTTATCACCTCGTTTTATTTTTTTTTATTTTTTGCTTTACATTTTTTAATTTCTTTAGTTAATAAATATTATTACTTTTTTTTCAAATTGTTATTAACAACTCATGTTCTCTTTAAAAATAATTATAAATTTTTATTTTTGTTTAATAAAAAATTTAAATTTGAAATTAGCCTTATACGTGACGGGCAACGGAGATTTTCGTAACAATGACCCTTGGATAATCCGCCTTGCGGGTGTCAGGGTAGACGGATTTTTTTAATATCCTTTTATTAACTCCAAAATATCTTTTTTAAATTGGACAGTTTTGAAAATAAGTACTAAAACAATTCAAAATCGATTTGCTCACCTCCACTTGCATGCCCATGATTGGATCCTATTCCCACTGGCCACGTCTCAAGCCTCCAAGCAAAACTATATAAATAATCAGTACTCGCGTACACCCTTCCTTCCCTATCATGCCACCACCTCTTTGGCTCTTTCTCCACCTTCACCGCATCTAAATCTCTCCATATATACACGTTTATATATTTCTCTCTAAATCGACAAAATAAAATTACCACAAATAATTACTTTCTCGAGATCTTACTGTTAAGTGTTAACGACAGATCAGCAAGCACGAGAAAAACCCTAGTCCATTTTCACACTTCATTTTCAATTTTTCGAAGATTTTTGGAAATTGGTATAAGAATTTTTTATAGCAAGTAAATGTTTGTATAGAAAGCTCGATGAGAAACATAGCATCTACGCGCTCCTGAACTATCATCTGTTTGCTAGGTGTCTCGGTATTTGTTCCAATTTTTATACTGTCGCTTAGGCTCAAACACCTTAACTCTGAAGGTAATATTTTTTTGTTTATGTATTGATTTAAATGTTCATTTATGCGTTATTTGTTAGTTCGATCATCTTTGTTGATTTGATTTGTGATTTCTCGATGCAGTATCGAAAGGATATGTGGAAGATTTATCGATTATTGTATGATCTCTCTTCTCTTAAGTTGTTTGCATTCCTCTGATGTTACTTGATTAGTTAACAAGGGAAGTGGACTTTGGAAATCTGGATTTTTTAGTACCATTGAGGTTCTACATTCCTTTATCATTAGTCGATTTTGAATAATTTTTTTTTTTAATTTTTTTAATTTTAAGTTTGTTTGTGTGAGGAAGTAGAACTCTATAAATTTGGTGTTACTTTCTATTTGTATTGTATTGGCACCATATAAGGGAAGAAAAATATTATGGGATTATGTTCCGATCAAATTTGCGTGATTGTGTTGTCATTCTCGATGGATATCTTTTTCTCGTGCAGTCGAATGCTTTGCTAACTATCCCAGATGAAGTACATATTGCTTTTTTACGCTTTTAAGTTATTTTTTTCCTTTTTCCGGAAATTGTATGATGCTTTCGGATTGAATAAAGTCGCAAAATTTCTCTCGTGCAGAAACACAGAGCAGAGGCTCAAATACTTAGTGCGATGCAGCAGGTAACTGTAAATATGGATCAGTCTTCTTCGAAGAAGTAGATCAATTTCAATTTGTTACTCATATCTGTGGAATGGTGTAACTTGGCTCAGGAAGAAGGTGAAGGTTTGAAAGAACCACCCTTGATCGTGTACAAAGATGGGGACCTCACTTCGGCAGTTAGTTTTAGTTTTACTGACGATAATAGAATTGGTGAATCGGGAAATGTTGCAGACAAAGTTAATTTTTTGAGAAAAAATGGTTGGTGTCGTGTGTACATTTTATTTCACTATTATCTATTTCTATTTTTGAGTTTCATTCAATTTTGCACATATTCCAAGTTCAGTGTTCAATCGTGATGTGAAGGAAGATAGCCAAAAACCTCTGCAGAAGGATAGGTTGCCCATCTCTGGGGAAAAGGTGCGGAAGTTTTTAACTGCTGCAATTTTGATCCTTCTTTTTCCATTTATTTCAGACCTTGACAAGTCAGTAATGATATAGCTACATAAGCGATAGCAGTTGATGCTACAAATACGTTATTTGGAAATTGAACAGTTTCAAGTATTCCTGGAGTTCTTATTTTTTGCTGCATTTGTTGCTTGTCGTGAACTTAGATACCTAACAAGACGAAGTAGATTATACTGTTTACCTCTCTTAGTTCAGGGACAAACGTGACTACCAAAGTTATTAACCTGAAAACAATTTTATTTATGCACTATCAGCCTCAAGTAAATTTCTTTTGAGAACCAAACGAGGGAGACCATTGTGAAAAAGTTGTTGACTCAGATCAGATTTGACTGTTATGCTCTGTCCTTCTCTAACAGAGCAATTTGTTACATTTTTAATTGGATAGAATTCGATTTTTATGGAATCTAGGTGAAAGAGATCTTTGAGATGTTTTCTATAGTTAGAAATGATAATTGTTATCTCTTAGTTGTGTTAAATAGCACACTTTTTTCATTTGCTTCTGGACTTCTTGTATTTTAAATCTACTGAACTCAAAGATCCCAACAATTTGTTTTATCTTTTGGTTCTCACTCACTCAAATTCTCCGTTTTCTCTGTTTTTTTTTTTTTTTTTGGTGTTGTGAGGAATCATACAGGAAATTGCTTCTAATTATTTAGACAAGATGACATAGGTTCCGGTTTTTTGCTGAAGCTATTTTTATTTATTTTTGAGACTAGATATGTTCTCTCCATTCTTATTACAAATTTGGTAATCACTCTATACTGGTTAATGGAGTGGCAAGTCCTTTTGTCTTTCCAATTTTCCTTTTTCTTTAGCCCCTTCTCTATTACTTTTTCTTTTGCTTCTTTCCTCTTACATCATTTTTATCTTTGGTTCTATGGCAGCAACATTCCCAGCCAAATGGGTTTCAACATGATCAGAACGCACAGTATATGGCACGCAGGGCATTGGATGAGAATGTTAAAGAGATGAAAGACCAGGTAGTGAGGGCCAAAGCATACTTGAATTTTGTACCGCCAAATAGCAGCTCTCATTTTGTAAAAGAGTTGAAGCTAAGAATTAAAGAGGTTGAACGAGCTATGGATCAAATCACCAAATCTTCTTATCTGTCTAGGAGGTAGAACCCTACTTATTTCTCTGCCTATTCTCATTTTTCTTCTGATAAACCCTCTTAATATTCTTCATTTTCCTTATTTCACGCGAAAGGGAGTTCATATTAATTGAAAGAGAACTTTGAATAGAGCTCATTGAACTAATGAATGGTGATTAGTATTCTTTAAAGTGGGCATCAAGAGCAATGCTAGATTGCATTTAGCAATGCAATTCTTTTTCCAATTTGAAAAGCAATTCTTTTTATTGCTGAGTGATGATCATTTCATGCTCAATTGAGCATATTTTGAAATGAACTAAATGAGTTACATTGTTTAATAAATCAGTTAATTTTTCAGTGCTCTGCAGAAGATGAAAGCTATGAATTCTACCTTGTTAAAAGCCAGTCGTATTTACCCTGACTGCTCTGCCATGGTGAAGAAGCTTCGTTCTATGACTTACAATGCTGAAGAGCAGGTGCGATCTCAGAAGATGCAAGAAACCTTTCTTGCAGGACTTGGCGGAAGAACTATCCCGAAAGGCCTTCACTGCCTCTCTATGAAGTTGACTGCTGAATACTTTTCCCTAGAGCCTGAGAAACGGGTGCTCCCCGACATAAATAAACTGCAAGATCCGGAGCTCTATCATTTTGCTATTTTTTCTGACAATGTTTTGGCTTGTTCAGTTGTTGTGAACTCAACCATTTCAATTGCTATGGTAAGTTGCCACCAATTTTCCATCCCTTCCCTGGTTGACAGTGGTTTTTGTTCTATTTTTTATATTTTCAGATTTCAACATAGGATGACTGAGATGCTAGCAAGTTTAGTTGAATTACAAACTCATGGAGTGTCCTAAAATTGGAGAAAGGAAATTGATTGGGAGGAGAGAATATTACTTAGAAATAGAAGTCTGTTATGAACCCCTAACAAATATCTTCTATGTTGTTGCATGCCTCTTTGATCTTGTTATGAGTTTTTGTTCCTAAGGACGTGCAACCAAATTTTGTTGATAGGATGGACATACCTATGGGAATTGCACGAATTTTATTTTGGAGTCTCTTTTGTTATTGTAGATTCTTGTGTCCTCTATGTAGGGGCTGCACCATATCATTTTCTATTAAAATTCTTGCTTATAAAACAAGTGTAGCAATTCACTTCTTTCCATGTCCGTGACTAGTCAATCTCATTTTTTCCAAGGGTTGGTAAAATTGCATTGAAATGTGGCTACACATGAAATTTGGGAAAGTGCATTGATTTCATAAGAAAATGATGGTGGATCTACATCTTTCCTTTTTTTTTTTGGAAAAAGAAATCTTCGGTGGTAATGTATGGTGATTATGATTTAACCGATATTCCTTTTCCTTTTCTGTTTATACCATCTAATGTTAGAAAAATAAACGTTAGTTTTAGACATGGCAATGTATGATGACTTCAATGACTTGACTAAGATCTGTTTGGGGCAGAAGAAAAAATGAAGTGACCCCTTGTTTTTTAATCGTACACTGAATAATAGTGAATTTTCTTTTCCTGGCAGGAACCAGAGAGAATAGTATTTCATATTGTGACAGATTCTCTCAACCTCCCAGCAATATCAATGTGGTTTTTATTGAATCCTCCGGGCAAAGCTACAATCCATGTTGAGAGCATAGACAATTTTGGATGGTTATCCACCAGATATAATGCAACTCTGCAGAAGGAAGGCTCTGTTGATCCAAGATATATATCTGCGCTGAACCACCTTCGGTTTTATTTGCCAGATGTTTTTCCTCTTTTGAAGAAGATTGTGCTTCTCGACCATGATGTGGTGGTACAAAGGGATTTAACAGGACTATGGAATATTAACATGATAGGCAAAGTAAATGGTGCTGTGGAGACTTGCAATGAAGTAGAGCCTTCATTCCGTCGTATGGATATGTTCATTAATTTCACCGACTCCATGGTAGCCAAGAAGTTTGATGCCCAGACATGTACATGGGCTTTTGGGATGAATGTGTTTGATCTGCAAGAATGGAGGCGACACAATCTAACTGGAATCTATCACAAATACCTACATTTGGTAAGGGAATATATATATTTTTTTATTCGTTGCAAGTTGTGATTTAGAGTTCTGTACTAGCCATTTTATGTTGCCACCTATACTTTTGATTCTTGTCCTGTATTATGTCCGACAGGAAGAGAGACCTATTCTATGTTGTCTTAGGAAGATTGGACATAAAATTGAGATAACTAATGCTTTAACATCTTTCTAGTCTCTTTTAAGGTGCTTTTATCATGAAAAGAAAGTTCATATCTCGAACATTTATGCATACATTAGTATCAACATCTGTTGCATTTACTTTTTACATATATAATGGATCATGGCGCTCTTCTCGTTCGTTCTAGTGACATTTAGTAGAAGCCTATTGTTGATTACTACTGGCTCTACTGCATCTGTGATTTTTCGAGGTGTACATCCGATGCAGTCAACCAAATTTTTGTCTAGTTAAGATATGTACTCTTTATTAGTAACGAGTCGAACTTGGCATCCACAAAGACCAAAAGGAAAAGGATGCTTCGAAATGGAAGGATTGCTTAGGATGGTGTTTAACAGTTTATCATAGTTATTCATTGTTTATTATGCTAACCTTCTCTCTGTAAAACTAATTAATGCCTGTGATCAAGCATTTTCCCGTTTTAACTTCTTTATGCTTCTTTTTTTGGGGATGATGCAGGGAAATAAGAGGCCGTTGTGGAAAGCCGGTAGCTTACCCATAGGGTGGATCACATTTTACAAGCACATTGTAGCTTTAGATAGAAAATGGCATGTTCTTGGGTTGGGATATGACTCTGGAGTCAGGCCAACTGACATTGAGCAAGCTGCCGTTATACATTTTGATGGAATCTCGAAACCATGGTTGGATATCGGGCTCGCGAAGTATAAACACTACTGGACGAGACACGTCAAGTACGAGCATCCCTACCTGCAACAGTGCAATATCCACGAGTAGTTAGATTACATACAAGAGCTCTTGAATTCATCTCACATTGGTTGCCTTACATTGTAGGAACCATCCACAATCAATTAATTCTTTCCCATTCTTCAACAATTTCCAATGTAAATTTTAGTTCGTCTTTTATTTTTATTAAATTCTACCAACGGAGATGAGCATGTTGACTGAATTGGAACAAAATTAGTTAAAAATAAGAAGGGTTAAACAGTGTTAATTTCTTTCTTTTTCTTAATGTTTTTGTTTTCTTTTCCCGTTCTCTCTATTTGTATCACTCAATTCCTATTGAGATATTGTTCTAGGGCAAGAGGGAGAGGTTGTGAATGGATGATGTAACACGTGTCAAAATCTGGTTGGTTTATTATCGACAAATGGATATCCATCTATCCTTGCTATGTGGTTAATAATGAAGACATACTTCACAACGACAACAAATTGAACCCCCTGAGAATCCTTACTGCAACATTCAATTGGGTTTTCTAAAATTCATCAATCCCATTGAATAAAAATGGCAGCCATTTCTGCTTTTACTCCGACCTCGTCCGTCCTCAGCCCGGCGCTCCTGCAGAAGGGATCCGTGGCACGTCCTTGTGTTCTCGGTAAGAATATGTCTTGCTCGTCACATATTTCTCTTTCTTTAATCATTATTTTATTATAGACTGAACAAGCCCTTAACTTGTGCTCTTAACATTCACTGTTCCTTCATGAGTTTCATCACTTCATGGTTCACAGGTTTATTATTCCTAGATTTTACATATGAAGTCTTATGCTAATGAATTCATTTCTTTCGTGACTACTGCATGTATGAAAGATTCAATGAAATCAAATCTCTTGACTAAGCAAGATGACATTTCATCCTGTCTTGATTGAGGAAAAACAAAATCTGCAACCGAAATGTTATAAAATTTTGGGTTTTCTTGTTCGTATCTTCTAAAATCGAAACATTCTAAACGCTTTGATAACCCATTCATTTTGGTTGCCATGTCATTTTTGATATGCATATTTCCGTTTGTCCAAGAATCTCATATGATGAACAAACTGGTACACCATTGAGTTTTTTATAATGGAATTGTCTCTATTTTATTTTGTAAAAAGTGCAATTTTCCCCGTTGGTAAAAAGAACCGTGCTATAGGTACAGAAATATTTGCCAGATTTTTGAAATCAAAGGCCAGGATTTATAAAAAAAAGGCGGGAAAAAAAAACTCAAAGGCTAGGAACATTTTCTGGTAAATTTCTGGTAAAATTCCCTGTACTCAGGGAATTTTCC